TTTCATGAATTTTTTATTGGATTTAGCCATTTAGGTATAAACAAAAGAATACGCTGACACAGAGATAATTCAATAATTGTTTATGTTTTAGTATAATCAATGGTTGTTCGTTTATTTTTTATACAATACGTCTCTTTATTTTGTTCTAACGTTATTAGTTTATTACAGTAAAATACTGATTTGGCGTTTTACAATGGAAACTAAGCTAATTGCAAATCATAATAATGCATCGAACGAATGGATTTTTGAATTGCATACATTAAAGCATTTATATCCAGCTCATAAGCATACTTCCATTAGTTTATTTATGTAAATATGTTACATATTTTTATTTTATATTTTTGTTATTGAGATGAGATTTATGCAAACTTGAATACAAGAACAATATAATTCAATCGATTTTATATGATCATTAAATAATATAAGTCTTCTGAACGTTTTATTTGTTAACCTAACTTTACAGTGGGCGGTCCATTTAAAGTTACACTCGTAATTTTAAAAACTACAAATGTTTTTGAAAATATTTCATGTACATTATTTTAAGTCGTTAAAAATAATATTTTTCTCAAAATGTTTTTAATTTTTATAGTTATCATTTTTTAAGCTTTTATTATTTTTAATTACAACATTAATTTTTAATTTATTATTCCAAAGCAGAATATTTGTTGGATTACTTATTATGTACACAAAATTTGAATTTTAGACTACCTAGTTGTTTAGAAGTTATTAGTAGGTATTTAAAGTTTAGATGAGCAAAGTGAAGTACTGGAGTGGAACAGGGTAGTATAAGGTTCCTCAAAAGATGTCTGTCAACCACTCCACTCGTCTATACATCTATGTATTATAAATTTATAACTTCATAACTTCTAAAAATCTATAATTATCCAACATTTGATTTTTATGGATCAAAACACTACAAATAATTTTCCGCTTCGAAAAATGAGACAAAAAAATGTGCGTTATTGTTGTTCAAAAAAGTAAAAATTATAATTTTTCAAATGTTAGTGTTTTTTGAAATAACGAATGACTTTTTTATTAAATGGATCACCGTAACCTGCGATCTGCATATATATCGACTATGAATCGTAATTTTCAATAATAATTTATGAATAACAGTAATAAGAATAACATTATGTGGTGACATAATAATATGGGTGTTTAATTATTCCAATTCGAAGTATTTTTTCCCACTTATAAATGTATAAGAAAATTATTGTTATTCGTTTAGTGCAGTGGTCAGCAGCCTTTTTGTTCTTATTGGAGCCACATTCAAAAATTAAAAAAGTTTCTCGGACTATGTCGGACAAAAATATTTTAATAATAATAATAAAAAAAAAATAATAGCCGTATGGAATATTCGCGCAGGCCACCGGTTGCAGACTGGGTTTAGTGGATAGATTTCTCATTTTTTTTCATTAATTATAACTGTTATATTTATATTTATAATATTAATATATATTATGTAATTATAATTAGATTTTTTTTGTAATCATAAATTTTAATTTATTTATTGTGCCCGCTATTTTATTCGTATTTTTGTGTTGGTATGCATGTTTATGTGTTGATTTTTTTTATCAATGTTTCACTATCATGTAATATGTAAATAATATGTTGAATGTTCAGTGATAATATACTGATATGACTTAATATGTTGTGAGCGTTTAAATTTGAAAGTCTTTGAATATCGTTCCAATCTTTCAACAAGTATTAAATTTTCTATTACAGCATTACACGTCTTTTACAGTTTAATTTACATTATTTATATTCAACATTTAAGTTATCTTAAAGTTTAAAATAAATCGTAGTCACTAGTAATATAATATATTATTATACTCAGAGGCTATGGCAGATAACTGGTGAGCATTCCAGAAATCACAGAATTTATACTTAAATTGTTATTATTCAGTTTATCAGTTCATGTCGTCATTTATTTATTGTTTTAGAACATGATTCGAGGTTGAAGCAATTCCACGATTTGAAGTCAATAGCATAATATAAAATAATATTACGCTTCATATGAGATCTAATTGATTGAAAATTGTATACTTGACAAAATGGTTTGCCAGAGTCTCATGGAGTTAAAAATTGTTATCCGTTCTATTTTAGTAGCATGTAAGAATGCCTTAACAGTCGATGAATTATGGAAGAGGACGATTTACGTATTTGGAGGACCACAACAAATACAGCTTAAACTGTTTGGTTACGAGACCCCCTATGATTTACTTAAATGTATACCAGATGTTGTTCAGTTAGAAGATCCAGAAGATACAAACTCCATTGTAAATTTAATAAGTTCAAAATTGAGCAGGCATATGGAGTTATTAGTTTCAACAAATATAATAAGACCACCCAAAAGTAAAATTTGTCAACACGATTTATTGGTGCCATACAGAACACAGTGCGCATTTATTAGAATTTTTCATGAACTATATCCAGAAGGATTGACAATCAGTGATTTTGAATCCGATGTTTTGTGTATTCCAATATTTCAGTCTTACATTGACTGTGTAGATATATTATTGTTCAATTTGGACCATGTGTTTATAAGAAATGGAAAAGAAATTATAAGCTTGCAACCGAAATTAGTCAACAAATTAAATGAAATAATTGAAACAGCAGATAAATTTACAGCGATGGATATTTGCAACATTAATGAATATTCATTGGAAAATAAATATGATGATCAACAAATTTCCAATGGACTGGAGTACCCATTGTTTAATATTTTAGAAGAATCAATTAAATCTAACATTGAACAACTATTGAACGAAGTACCTGGTTGGATATCTGATAGACAAATGTGTAATTTATACATTGACAAATTTGGTTCTGCCTTTACTCATTATAGACGATGGGGTTTTAGTAGAATTAGTCAAATGTTTTCAAAACTGCCAGAACTGTGTTGTGTTCATTTCTCAGAGAATGAAGTAGAAATAATTTCATCAATAAATCATACTTGTGATATTTATAAAAATCCAAATGTATCAGAAGAAGCAAATAAGTCAGGATCTTTTTCTATTAATGCAAAAGAAAAATATAATAATGAACCTAATGAAAATTATGGGGTATTAAAACAATTTTTAAGAAATGATCCATATTTACTAACATCATTAAATGATTGTTTTTTGGAGCAAGAAATTCAACGGTTTGAATTGAAAATCAATGATTCATTAAATGTCAATGTTTGTGCAGTTAATACAAATATTATACCAACTATAAGATGTCAAATCCTTGACCAATATCATGAATTCCAGAAGCTATTAGTTGATATGAAAAACTTTTATTTTCTACACGAACAAGAGTTGTTATTTGATTCAACTATTACCATGATGAAACATACTTATGCATATTTTTTTGATGATTGTTGGTTCAGAGGATTTGTCACTGATATTAACTTAAGTGTAATAAAAATGACAAATATTGACAATGGTTCGATGGATACTATTCCGTTTGATGATATCAGGTTACTACACAAACAGTTTACCCATTTACCAGCACAATCATTGACTTGTAATTTACATGGAATAGATTCTATGAACGAAGATGAGCTTTTGAAAATTAAAGATAAAGAATGTTTAATATATGTTGTTTCTATTGATCAACAAAATAAATCTGCAAGTGTCAAAATTAAATGTATAGATTCTGTATCAGATAAATACTTAAATGATGAATGGATAGAAAGTGGTGTTGCCGACCCGGATTCTGATGAAGATTAATAATGAAGATACAATTTTATTATAGTTTTTTTTTTATTATTATTATTATTAAATCACTAAACCAAGCAAGTTAGCTTATTATTATTATTATAATTTTTTATTATTTGTTTTTTTTTTTGTTATTTGTATAACTTAATATTGTAAAGTTATCCTTTGCCTGGCCATTTTTTTATAGAAATTGAAATATTAAAACTGGGAGTAAAAACAAATCTAATAATGAGATGAATGGTGTGGTTGAGCATAATGTGTAAATTTAATAAATTACTAATTTGTTGGTATGATAATTACTTAAAAGTTGTATGGTCAATTAACCAAATTCTTAAAACACAAGTAGGTAGCTAATATAAAGGTATAATAAAATATAATAGTAATTTATTGTTCAATTGCATGGGAGTACATTTAGACGATACTACGTACATAAGACTCTGATTGATTTATTTAAGTCAATGGCTAATAGTTTCGTGATTTCATATATAAGGTATATCAATGATTTTATAATGTAAAATTTTAATTATTTGTTTTTAATGGAAATTATGTAAATATTTCAACAGTATAACCATTGTGCTGCACAATAACAAGACGAGTTCGCAAAAATCCAATTTCTGGTAAAGTAAATATTTCCTGATTCCTTCTTTCATTAATTGGGACAATTTTGTTTATACAATATTACTAAAAAACAATCTCCTAGCATACATGATACAATGTGAACGTGTTATATCACACAAGTAACTTACTTAAGTGTTATTCTTTTAATGAATAGGTACCTAATCGGGTAACATGTTATTATGTATTGATGTATAAAAAATTAGAGTTAATTATTATTGTTGTTGCTATAAGTTACAAATGACAAGTGTCTTTGTGTCTTGTGTGAGCAATTAAAATTACAAATAGAAGAACATAATACTGTTTTAATCTCGTTCACGAATATGAGATATTAAATCAGAAAATGGTAGTCAGAAAAAAAAGCCCAGAAAAATATCCACAGAAAAAAAAAGTCAAATTACAATAATTAAATATATAATAATTAAAATTAAAGTATTAAATTAGGTATTATTTAAAAATTGTTTACATATTATTGGTCAAATATATAAAAAGTAGTTATAATCAAATAGGTATATAAAAAAATAAAATTTAAAGTATTACTCAACATTTTTAAACATCGGTCATATTGTATACTTATATATATATATATATAATTATTAATACACAGGTTATATGTTAATCAACTTAACATTTTTAACACAGTTGATTATACTGTACTGTCAGTAGGTATTTATATATAAAAATAAAATTGTTAATATTATAATATACATTGAGTGAAAATAACATAATATTTTGTGGATATTATGTTCAAATTGATTGATTTATGTCTTACACCCTAGATATGTATAAGYATAATGTATATACTTTGTACAGAGTGATTCTTTTTTAAATGTACATGTTGCAGTATGAATTACATGCTATCTTGAAATAAATTAATTTATGTATATTTTAAATTTTAATTTTTTGTTAAATAAAATCAATACATTCATTGCTGTTTAGAATCTAAAATATATTTATTACTATGAATAATAAATAATAACATATAACCTGTGCATTAATAATTGTATATATGTATACAATATGACCAATAATGTGTAAAAATTTTTTAAATAATACCTAATTTAATACTTTAATTTTAATTGTTATATAATTAATCATTGTAATTTGCATTTTTTTTCTGTGGATTATTTTTCCTACATTCTAGAAACA